CAACTTATTTAACATTTGTAGGCTTCATTTTCAACGCAGAAAAATAATATTATGACTAGCGGAAGCTAGACGCTCGTTGTGCATGAACCAAGATGTATCCGAGATACAGCAGATAGTAAGGAAGCTACTACGGAGATCAGCAAATATCAAACTTGATAACAAATTATATTATGTAAATACTTAGATATTTGGCTTCAGAGAAAATAAACGCAATTTTTTTGGTCCAATAGTTCGAACGAACGAGGTTGCCTGTAAGAACCTAGAACTTCATCCGATGGGAGGCATTTTTCGAATTATCGAAAAAAATATACCCTTAATAAAGCTGATTTCAATCTAAATGAAATTGCGCTAACCAGTAATTGTGGAGTGTTTGTTTTGAAAAAAATAAGCGCCCGACAACAGCTAAATATTGATGGGAACACATTGACATTTTTAGAAGTGACGCTAGTCTTTTACAGAACAAATCACAACCGCTTACCATAGCACAGTGTATATCTCCTGATGAAATTTTCGCCTTTTGTCAAAAATATCCAGAATCCAATAAATTAATCGTATACGACATTTACTGAGGGTACGATTTTATTGAGTTCACTGGACGGACATCGCTGTAAAAAAACAGATCGTGACGGACATAGTTAAGCAGTTAGCAGTTAAATTAATAATTTTTAGTGGTTTCCTTCCAGCCACGCTTGGAGCAGCGTTACTGAGACAACCTTGCAATGCACCAACCTATCTACTGGTGGGGTTCTTCTTGGCACCTTCTTGCGTAGCTGAATTTTCTGCCTTGCCAATGATTCACTAGCTACTTTATTGGTAAATATAAGGCTGTTTCCAGCGGATATGGCGAACTTTAAGACTAAATAACCTTCACGGAGAGCCTGTATTCTACTTCGTTATATCAGTAATAATTATGTAATACGGTTATAATTTTGCTATGTGTTCCATATGAAATGCCAGTTTTATGGCCAGAAATACCAGCCTTTAGGCGTTAAGTTCTGCTTTCGTAGAAAGCCTCTGCGATTGAGCCAATGCGTCCTTGTCCCTTGGGTCCCGACATTTGGTTATCTCTTCGTTGGCCTCCAACAATTTCGATTTCCGTTTTTGAAACGTTCGTACCATTCACGTACGGTTCTCTCCCGTAAGGCGTTTTTGCCTAATGTTTAACCCAATGTTCGATGAATTTCGCTGTAGCTGTTACGAAACAAAGACTTTTAAAAATCAACACGATTAAGTGTCTTCAATGGTGTTTTCAAAGGGAAAAATGAATTCAGAAGGAACTCATTTTTCCCTTTCAACATACAAATGTCCGAAAGATGTAAACACTTAGCAGCCGATTTTGTCTGCTAGCGACACGTAGTTTAAAAGTCATCATCAAGTGTCAAGGTCCGCCGAATTCGCTTGTAAAAACCTAATAAGTAGTGACGTTAAATGACGAGAAATATCTAAAACGATAGTACCGATAGGCTAAGTGCGTTAAAGTTTCCTTTCTTTAGGACTACGTGACTCGAAATCGCCTTGTACCTTACTACTACTACTATTGTCCAAAGACCTACGTTATCGTTTTGAGCTCTTAAAAGCAGAAGCCAATCTTAGGAATTAGCAGAAAAAATTCGCATAGAGATGCTTCGGTGTAATGAGGAACGGCAGGTAGAAAGGTCTTAACCCGCTATACGTGTCTTCGCTCGCTTTGTCGTAGATTGGTTCTACATAGACATCGGAGACTTCCACGAGCCAACAGTACTTGTAGATGCTCCTCATCGGGGAAATTCTTACAGATATCACGCCGCTTGTCGCCTCCTAGTGCCTAAAACCACTGGCAAATCTCATACATCAGTTTTGTAGACTCGTATCTGAAGTGGTTGTATTAACTTTTTTAATATTCGCTATTTTGCAGCATTATATATGTACGTGTAGTGGAAAAACCATACGAGTTCAATCGAGTCGAATATCATTCACTAAAACTTAACGGCATTGACTTTACAAAACATAGGCACCTATGGTGAGTGCTGTATCAGGTTAAATGTCCCGATAGCGCTTATGCTACTCTCCGGCGATCGTATGTATCTTCAAAAAGATCTAACAGGCCCTCATATTACATAGACCTACAATACAGGAGTTGGAAGCTCCCCTTTGGCCTGTGGCTCTGCATCTCAGATTGCGCCAAATTTCAAAAAATGTGAAAGGAGAGATTTTACTGCGGTATATAGTGGCAAGTGGAATGAGGGAAGGGCTAGGCGAAGGGAGCCAAGTACGCCTTTGCACGTGACAAAACCTTGAAATTAAGCTTTGTCTTTGCAAGACGCGCTCATTTCATGCTTACAGGATAATGAATTTAGAGGTGGCTTACGCAAAGCTTCGAGTACAAGTTAGCCAAAGACATTTTGTACTTCCAGTGTTCTGTTTCGATACTTTATTGAGACTAACGATCCGTTTCAACCAGCTTTGGAGCCCACGACAGCTGGCACCGTCCCTCCTCGGCCCCGTTTTTGAATTTCATAACCTCTAAATCCTCTGGTTGCAATAAAAATAAAAAAGCTCTGCCTGTTACCGAGGTCTGCTGCTGCTGCTGTTGTACCCTCCCTCGTTTTGAGTTGTATACAACATGTAGGATCGCGCCTGCCTCGCGCTCGCTGCCGGCGAGCTCTGTTCTAACTCGTAGAACCTCTGATGAGGCCTGGAAGCGCGGAAGACGTGCTGCATGCTACTCGCACTTGACCGAACCCATACGCCTCGTCTCCATGAGCGTTAGTCAGCAGTCGATCACCTGTGGATCACTGTGGATAGTACGCCATTCTCATAGGGAATAGCGGAGTTCGTGGCTGAATGGGGTCCGCGCTTGAATAGACAGCCGGGCAAGCAGACCGACGTCTAGTTCCGTCGTAGATGGCGTGACATCGTGCTTAATATCTATGCTATGTCCACAACGTGGCTGAAGCTTGAAAGAGGCCGAGTAGCTATTATAGTTAAACATGCTCGCTTCGTAGATACTCCAGATCGCTTTCGTAGACCGACGTTTTTCTATTGAGTACGAATGGAATGAAGAGAGTATAGCACATCGCGCTACAGATCGCATAGTAATGAACACTGAATGAACATAATTTACCTTGTATATTAATAACATTAGAGGACGACATCGATTCCTATCGATTTACAGTTCTTGTGCTTACCGCCTATCCTGTAGTACCAATAATAGTCTGTAACGAAATATGAATTAGATGACTAATGGTTGACATATTGCAAACGCTATTTTAACCCAATAATTGCCTTGGCCCCTTCACTCTCCACTTTTGAGACCCAGAGAACTGGGCTAGCACTTCTGAACAGTCCTATTGCATAATATTATAGGAACTCGTTGTTGTGACGCTGCAACTAGATTTTTTGCGGATTCCAACGAAATTTATTATAACCGAATTCACCCAACGTATTCGAAACTGACTCAGCACTTACTAAGAAAAGGAATCTAGGTCAATACGTAATCTGGATCAGTATCAAAGCATTCCTTCATTGCCCAATTTAGGATTTCGGAAAAACCACGCAATTTACTTTTGGCTCGTACCTTTAATGGTAATAGTGGTACAGGAAATGCTTCTATGGGATATGGCCATTGAGACGACTTCACTGACCTTAAGCTGATTTTGTTCAGCCGTGTCGCTTAACACATTGACTCTGAAGCGGAACATCTGAAACTATTTTTATAGTTCATTTGATGAAGCCCGACTGCGGAACGCACACGTTTAACCGTAGACAAATAAAATCGTACTCTGGTAATGTAAACCGCGATAAAACCCGTATTAAACCGCTATCTCCTTTGTTACAGCTAACGCTTGAAGTCATGGAACACCTCTCAAAATGGGGTTGGGAATTGGAATCACCTCCCTTTACTTCTTCTTAAAGCTGCTTCCTAAAAAGTAGTAGTAGTAGCCCATCCGGGTGGGAACAGAAGAGGAAATGTATATAGTAAAAGCAGTAACAGATGCCATAAGCAGGGTATACAATATGATGCAAATTTCTTTCGGCAGATAAGTAGCTTTAGTTGATCTCTGTTGATCACGGTACACTGGACATGCAATGTGTAGGATACAATTATCCGTGATATATAAAGCAACATGAAACGAATTCCATATCCCTCGAATTTTTTCCTCTCGATGGTTTTAGAGGCTATGGTCCATCTGCTTAAGATCATTAACTCCGGTCATTTGCAAGACATACTGGAAAAAAATTCTAGCAATAAATTTGCCGCTCCTCTGATGAACATCTCCATCGTAATTGTTCTTGCAAGCCTTCTAGCATAGCATCACACCGGAAATCCGGTATGAGTCATGCGTTCTAGATAAACCGGTTTAGATAAAATTATGGCACATAAATTACTGTCTTTTCATTAAGCATTTGCTGCAAATGCTCTGAATAATTTGGCTAGGCAGTATATCTATTGATCAAAACCCATTGTCGCGGACAGCTGTAAAGAACATCACATTGTTGAGATGAGGCACTCTATTGTTTAACAATACACAATGTTCTTGTTGCATAGCTGCACACTACTGCCGTATATGAACGTGTTATTCTATCAGCTGCAATCCGATGTGTGCCGTGTACACTTTTCAGATCCGGATGATGGTACATCTTCAGTTCATCTGCATATTCTAAATAATTTGACTTTGATTTCGGAAGTAATTGCCGCGATAATTGTTTACATTTGATTTATAACCTTTTTAGAATACAAACTTCTTCACAAGAACTTCGACAAAGGATGCCTGGAACAACGTTGTCGTAACAGGAGTGTAAAATCTGGCGCAAAAATCAAGGTTTAAAGGTTCCACAGGAGAAATATCAAAATTCTTATAAAATTCGGATGGGACATTGTCAGAGGTAAAATTTTCCCTTGCATTCGGTTACGAGAGTAACTTAAATATCTAAAGCTCGGAAATATCAATCGAACAAGCTCCAGAAACTGTAATTGTTTGCGGCTGCAAGGGTCGCTAATGTCAACCGATGAGGCGGGTACATATTCGCTTCGTGAATGAAGGGGTCTGTAGAATGGACAGTGACCGTCGTCTACTGGCTAACAACGAAAAGCAAGATCCTTCGACTGATTAAGTATCTATACTATTGTTAAGTTAAATGAGTGCACAATGGCTCATCCACTAGTAAATGTCCCAATTATAAGAAGTGCTAGTTTAGATTGAAGCACTCGTTTACGTTTTTCCACGTCGTACAAAAGAATCGTTGTTTTACCGAGTTGCTCTCATCAATAGCGACAACGCCAGCTACAGCGGCCCAACCAGTCAACCGCTTCAGATGCGCTAAAACAGTTCGCCAACAAAGGAAAATTCAGAGCCTTAAGAAGCATGAACGAGTGTGCCACGAAGACAACGATCTAGCGCCTAGGGCATGCGAAACTGATCTGTCCATGAATGTAAAAATCAGCAGCGTTAGCCATTTGATGACTGTGTCATTGTAGAAAGGGACTATAGATGATGAAAAGCTCGTAGGCGACGCAGCCTCTTAACCGAAACGGTCAAACAAGCCGGACCGAATAAGCGTCTAGAGGCTTACGATACGTTTATATTTTTCATTTAAGCTGGCAGATGAAAACAATTCGTATCAAATATACATACATATAGTTTAGTCTATATAATAGATAATATCTAGTGTATAGCAATTACATCAAGGGAAACCTTAGTAGACGGTTCTCAAAATTGCCGTTCCTTCTCACTACTTAGAACACACCTCAGCTTACATCTCGGCACGTGACCATGGCGTATATTGTTCACGATTTGTTAGTGTTTCTGACGATGCGCTTGCCTTGTGATGGGTTTTCTGAAGGTTGAGGTAACGGCCATGAAGACTGCTGTGTGCATGTACGAGATGAACGATGCTCGTAACGTTCCTAGCTCTCGTAGTATTGGTTGTGCAATATCCACAGAACCTACCAGCGCTGCCAGTAGTACACCAGTAGCTGCCAGTAGCTGTCAAGAACTACATCCACAACTACATCTATCCACACCAGCGTATCCGCCGATCACGCGTATGTCTCGCAGGCACCTCCACAATCGGAAGTATGTCAGAGCTCCAAGGTACTGCACATCAAGGTACCATGTCTACCATCCTCAGCGACAGCATTTTCAACTTGTCCTCTGCGAACCCGGGCTTATGGTAAGATACCGCTTGGAACGCAATATTACCTTCGAGGTGTTGAAAGTCAGTGGCTGTTTGAGCTCTTGCTTCTGATTTTTATGGGTCCAATCCCTTCATTTTTATGCTGCTAGTTCACTTCAGCGGATTTGAGAGTGGGGTCAGTATTTACTTGTCCACCGCGCCACATGCAATCATGCTATAATTAGTACTACAGACGACATCCACAGACTGGCTTTTGCCGCATATAGTTAGCCCATAATTAGTTTTACGGAAAAGCACACGTGCCTCAATCAGTGTTGAAATCAACGAGGGTCAATAGAAAGACTCACAGATCTGAGAGAAGATAAGCAGATAAACGAAAACTAAAATTGGAACTACACACTTGAAGATATTGAGCTTGTTCCTTATTCTTTTCTTAGGTATCTGTCAGTCTGCTATCGTCCAATAAAAGTAGCTTAGCGTATTATTTGAACAAAGTTAATTCGATAACGAAGTCAAGTTTATATATAATAAAAGCGAGAAAACGTACACGATTACGGAACGGCGATAAATCCGGAGCTAAACCTTGTTTTTCTTGTACTATATAAATACATATGCTCGCTTAAAAATTAAATGACAGGTTTTTTTTTGTGACTCACGAACGGCTACGGTTGTCCGAATGTATACACCGAATCAAAATTAATTTTCCAGTAAAAATATTTAACAATATCAATTTTTATCGAGTTCCTATAGAATGTTCACTTCAAACGATTCTGCGAATTTCGTGTGGCATTGCTTTTTTTCGGGACTTCGGGCTGTTAGGCTTGATACATGAGGAACTAGTGGAATCGATTATGTCGTTGAATGGCAAATTCCAAGAAATGACGAAGAATATCGCCATCTTACCAAATAGGCCAGCATTGAAAGCATTGCTTATTCTGTCCTGGATTGGGTTCAAGGTTTCGGCACGGAATGTGAAGACCACAATTTACACCCCAAAGCCGCTGATTGTCTCGACTGGCAACGATATCGCACATGTTTTACAACACAGAAATGAGACTAGACAGACGTCAATGCCTCTACCACGCCAGTATCAATTTACTGGCAAGCAGGTGATCTGCAGGTCGACAAGGTGCCTTCTGCAAAATGATGTAACATGCGTCCTATTCGGCAACCAGGCGCACAGCACGGCCGTGCATTGCACGTCGAGCTATTTGCCATCAGGTTACGAGTTCGGTCAAACTCGTATTCATAACTGTGACAATAACAACAGCAGTGACACTAAGCCCTGCTTCCTAGAGTATACCCTTATTAAAACAGGCCCATCTTATCCTGGTGACGAAAACGACCACATATCCAGCGGGATCCTTTGGAGCTTATTTTTTCTTACGTTCTTGATGGTTGGCTGCTTCATTTACTGCTGGTCGTACCAGTTAGAGTCATTTCGATGCCCCCCTCCCCTTGACTATCCAGGCTACCCGCAGTTCTACGCTCACTACCCGCGGAGACCTATTTACTACGTTTATGCTAAAAGAGGGCGACCCAATCAGAAGCGTAGCTCCGCAGCAAATAAATCCACCGAGGACACTGACACGAAAGCTATGTCAATAGGTAGCAATAATGACTAGCCGGCGAACATGGCTAAGCTGTTTAAAAGCAGCTCTCGCGAAAACTATCGAGAAAACAGTCATGCACCTATTAAAAACAATTCACAAGAGATCATCAGCAGCTTAAAGACAAGCTTTTTCCTAAAGCACTGAATCTGTCTCATTTTGCATGGCTTGAATTTCGTTTCTCTAGCTTACCAAAGCCTCTGTTGCCAAAAGCATATTCTACATGAAACGTGCACTTCTATACGTGTAACATTAGCGTACACGTGTGTATGTGTGTGTATATATATATATATACACACGTGTATATATATATATAGAGTGGGCGGATTAGCTAATTAGAACTGCAAGGGAAAGCAGATGGATATGTACGACCATTTTTTCAGACCATCGGCATTCAAGCAAACGCAGGATCTTGTACAAAATTCATTCATTCATTCGTTCGCTCATTCTATCTATATGATATATGCCACTAATCATAATTGGCATAAAATTGCAAAAAGTACAAGTGACAACCGAAAGCCCGGTTATTTTCAGTTTACAATAAAGGAAAACATTTGGCGGCATTCCATCATTTCTAGAACACAAATTATACGAAGCAAATGTTTTTTGGGTAATAGATTATTAAGCTAACACCTGTTCCGATAGTGTCTTCCCCGCAAGCTAAACCCACATTTCCATGAATGGGCCATAGGAGCTTCGTATACTGAATGCTCCGCGTACGCGTAACAGAAATTTAGTAGATTGGTCGCAAACAAACGCTGTTGTTGTACTGAGTGCGACAGGCGCTGATGCGTTTATTTTTAGTGTCAGACTCCGATATATCATTCGAGTGTTGAAATCGTTAGACCGACCTGCGCGACACAGCAGTCTGGAGTCCACGTAAGATACATCTACCAGATGGCCACGTCATCCGTGCCCCGTTCCGTATATCGAGAAAGGTTACCAGAGGAGTGAGTAAACATTACCCATCGGCCTATGGGCAAAGTTCTTTTACGGCGTTCGGTGCGGATGACCGAAAACATCGGAATGACTGAGAGCTTTGTTCTATTGACGAGTTGTGTAGTATATGTCGAGGGCCGAGCTTGAGGTAGCTACCTCTAGTTACGTTAAATCGTAATTGCCTAGGTCGAATGAACAACAATTTTCCTCAATTCTCCGCCGGAAGCATCTACGCAACGTTAGAATTGGCGCACAATAACGTCGAAAATAATTTATTAGTAACTTATTTCAGAAACAACGCAGGGTCAGAGCACGATTCGTCCTTGCGGGATAGGACAATTATAGCTAGTCACTTGATATTACACAAGCGTTACCAGCGGCACTGACCGTCCCGTCCCCTTGGGTGGTACGCGACTAAGTAAAAGTTTGCAAAGATAAAGTGTTCGAAACCATTGACCTGCTGTCATCCCGATCGTTTTAATGTTATTTCAAATTTTTCATCGCATATCTTACATTTTTATGTTGCCACTTTGTTTTTTCTGGAAATTCTGGAACAGATAGTGGAGCTGAAAGAACGATGTGGCCGAATCAGAATAGGTACTTTATAACGAACGTTAACTATTGTTGAGAAGATTAAGTTCTGGCCGATTGCTGTGAAGACATCCTCGTAGAATTAGAATTTCAACTATCACGATTCACTGAAAAGTGAAGATATTGCTGATGTGATACTTAATCTAACAAGTTGGGAACTTACCATCCTGAAATGATCGTGGGTTAATAGTTTCTAAGCTATTACAACTAGAACGAGCCCGCTGCAAGATAATCGTTTTACGGCACATTGAGGAGCCGACTATTCTGTGTAACAGTAATTGAATAGTATGCCTATGACGAGCGCCATCGTGCTTAGACAAACATATTGTACGTTGCGTATATATACAATACGTTTACGTTGACGCTAAGCAATTAGATGCGGGTACGTGCTTAAAATGATTACGTTCCTCAATTCACGATGACACAGCGTCCTTCAGAAGCTTTCAGAGTGTTGTTTGCGTATTGGATTTGCTGGTTTGGGCGAACAATGACAGCACCTTCGACCGTCGAGTTAGCGGACCCCGAAAACATTCCTATTCCACCGATATTCCGTTTCGTTGGTGACCAAGTTCGCTGTGCCTCGTCCGTGTGTCTTGTCAGACATGAAGCGACATGCCACACTAAAGGCCAATCGAATTCTGGCAGGATCGTGGCGCGTTGTGAATCAAAGTATGTACCAAAAGGGTATTCTTTCGATCGCATGGATATTCAATGCAAGGGAAATGATACTCATATCATAGTTGATTCATGCTATTTTGAGTATACGTTAGTTCAAAAAGGACCTTCGCAACCCGTGCCTCCTCGTCCGAGGCCGAACGACCGCCGCCAAGACGATAGTACAATTATGATCATAGTAACGGTGTTTACGATAGGACTACTTGTCTTGGTTTTCATAGCCTGCGTTGCCTCTTGGATTCCGAACGCCCGACCGCCAATTGCACCTGCAGTTCCCATATACTCTGCTGGTAGTCCACGCTATTACGGATCTTCTTGTCATAGATATGAATACCCCCAGCCTTACTATCACTACGAAAGTCCCCATAGTCGAGTGGGCGACGTAGCAGCGGGTGCGGCCGTTGGTGGACTCGGGGGTTTGGCGCTCGGGTACGCTTTGGCAAATGGTAGGCGCTCAACTCGATGCCAGGATCGACACGAAGAGAGATCACCATCACCGCCGTCGGACCACGAGCCTCCGTTTCACAGAGACAGCGGCTTCGCTGACATTCATATCACCTAGTAATAATGAGTCGAGCTTAGTTTTATGCTTAATTGGACATTATTTTGCTAGGGTTAGTTATTTGCAACCCTGTGAGGGGCTATGCGATCGAAAAAGTTGTCCTCGAGTGTCGTCAGCACGGTGCGCCGAGATGTCGCGTGGTAGATTTGTGGATCACAGCTAAGATGGTGACTGAAAGTTGTATATTTATTCTAAGAAAAGTATTGAAAGAAATGTTATTGTCGGCTGTATATAGGACTATATTTACCATAATAGTAACGTTTGTGTTGTGGCTGCGGGGTAGTTGTATGAACGGTCAAATCTATTCGTTTAGTAACTTATTTCGTATGCTTCTTCTGGATACTGTAGAATCGGACATTCATTAGCGGCTCCTATTATGTAAGTACTAGTTGGGCTTCGAAATGAACGATTTTAGATGTAGATCACATCAACGGGATCCGTTCATTTCCTGACTATTGCTGGAACTTGTTGTTATGCTCTATTATAGGTCGCGCATGGATACAATGTTTTCCAGTCACGCGTTTATCGTCCACATTCATGTTTAAGCTAGTGCTGTACACCAGAATATATAATGTAATAGCGTTGTTTCGCACTTATCAGATTGTTGGGGTAACCTCCTTACCGAGCTTGTGTCGCGAAGTGCGGGAAACGATAGAATTTTGCAGAAATGTAGGTTATTCAAGCTCTAAATACAGGCGTGTTTATAAAACTGTAGCTATATTAAAAAAAAAAAAAAAAAAACAGGTAATTGCTTGTTTGAGTTTGATAAATAATGGCTAGTTCCCGGATAGCTATACGGGTTCGGTAGTATTAAATTCGTCATGTAGCAATGGGATCTTTATCGTCGTATTTACCGTTACAAGCTGACAATTAAGCAGTTTATTACGACAATATTTTCCACTGTTTTTAGTAAAAACTATTTTGTTTATGAAAATATTTCGTTATAGTTGATGCTGCCGACGTCACGAGATTTTAAACCGCGTTAAATCGACTCATAACAGTACGGATCTAACGCCTTAGAAGGTGACCCTTGGAGGAAACTAGCAAAACGGCAAGTTCTCTAAGTGTTTCGAAATGGAAGATATCTTCACGCGGTCAATAAAGACATCACGTTAATTACTTTAGATTTGCAGTTATATAAATGCTTGTAACGTTGATATCGACATGCTCAGAGGTACGTCTGCTAAGGCGATTATTTAATAGGAATCTTCAACATTTATATTCACTGCTGTTTCGTGTTCAGGCTCAAAAACGACTACATTTGCGTAATTAAAAATCACGATTTTCTAGCCGTGGTTAGCTGATAGTAAGTTCATTCTCTAATTTGTCTAGTGATTCCAACGGTAGGTATCAAGAAATCCCATTGACGTACAGCAGGTATTTTGCAACAGTGTTCATACAGGCCTGCCGTGTTCAATGTTACACTAACGGGTAGTATCTTGAAGCTATAGTAGCCTGAAGGATGCTTTTCCACGTGATATTCCCTTTATTAGCCATCTGTTTAGTATCCTGTTTTCATATAAACTATATAAATGAAGTACACACTCAGTTGATTTGGCCAAGAATACCCTCAAGGGAATAATTTGCTTTAATATTCAAAGGTTGTAATGCACTGTCCAAAAGCCGGCTCGACTTCCATGTTTTAAGAGATCGTATTCAGGCCCGATACTCGATCTATCCTTACTTAGACTCTTCTTTCCACGCGTGTACTATGCGATCTGTGGGTAACCATGTTCACATATCGAGGTACAGTTCATATGGACGTTAGCCCTCGAATATATCGGACAGAGCATGAATCAGACAGCAGGCCGCACTACAAATTCGTGGTCACACATTAATTGCTTCCATGAGTTATATCGAAGCTGTAGAAAAGCTATATTCTACCATCCATAAGATTAACAACTGGGAAGGTTCTTTCCCATTTGAAGGTTCAACAGAGAAACGAAGGTACTGTAAAGGCGCTAGCGGAGCATCGCTTCGCGTCATTTTTTTACATTGACCCTCAGCTAAATACAATACAATGGCAAGCAGCGACACACGGCAGGGTATGGCACCAAAAATGGGGTAAAGTTTCGACGGGCTATTTATTGCAAAAGGTAAGCTATTTCAGGTACTGAACAAAAGCCAGTTCTTTATATAAAATAATCTAATGACATTTAAGCGACGATTAACTGTTACCCAATCTCTACGCGCTGGAGAAACCCCACCGCGATTATACATTATACTCCACGGTCATCGACAGTATATTTGCATCACAAACTAATTTGCCGCTGCAGAGGTTGGTTCTAGCACAGCACAATGGATGATCCGCAACACCCAAAAAAAATATTGCGGACCCCAAACTTAATCGTTACGATCCGAAGGTGCATTTCCAATGATTCTTCCATTTCAGCCCGAGCATCAGTGAAGAAATTCAATGTGGGCGAGCGTTAAAGCGTTACGTTACGCTATTCACAAAGGTCTTACGTGCACGTCGTATCAAAAATCAGGATAACACTATCGAAAGGAGAAAAAAATAGCTATTGAGAACAGAGCAGTGTGTCGTCTTAAATTTTTATTTGACAACATTTTTTCACTTTTAGCGTATAATTAACTGGAAAAGTGATCGCTAGCTTACTCACGACGCAGGACATGTGCCTATGACAGGTAGACATACATTTTCGGCCGAAGTTTATGTCCTCAGTGCGGCGTTTAATAAAGGAGATGTTAAACCATCATACTTTTTCTAGAAACACAAACACATCGTTAGAGAAGTTTATCTGTAGGTTCTAGAAATCGCTGTGTAACTGTGGATTTACCAGTAGTTTAACAGTAGTTCGTCGTCGAAAAACAAAATTGGATTGAAAATTGTGACATCGGCAAGCTGCTACAGTCATGTTGATTCGGACCGCTGCCGTTGTCCTATAATTTCACAGTGACTTTACGTCATAACATCTATTCTACGACAACCTATGTACAGAGGAATGAATGAATCTGAGGAACGACGGAAAGGCCCTTTTCAAACTACCTTTCGTAGTCAAATGCTGGTTTGTGCGCATAAAAGCGCCTTAGGCTATAGATACACGCTAAGCACGATCTTTGTATGTGATCCTTGAACGCAAAATCACTGTGTTCTTATAACTAGCTATTGAAAATCTAACTTATCTACATTAGAGAACTTAAGCCACCAACGTGTGGAACAATTTCGTATCTGCGCAGCAAGCGAAACTTGGCCGTAATCAGTGACAGTAATATCAACGACTTGACAACCTCAAGCCGTTGAGCGGCTTGGGCAATAGCAGAGCCTCGAATGGAAAAATGTAGGTTTGTCTGGAAGCTACAGAAAATTAACTTGTATTATCACCTATCGCAACTGTGATCCAGATCTTTTTATACAGAAAATAGCAGCCGTTTTCGAAACTCGTTAAGCAAAAATCGTTCTTTTTTAAATTACGTATTAATATTTTATAATAATTATTATTATTCTTTTAATATTAAAAATTCAATAATTTTTTAGTCGGCAAACACCGATTATTCATTTTATAAAGGTAAAACGAATCTTCAATATATTGTTATTTAAAAATTATCATCGGTCGCTTTTCTTACGGATAACATTTTGGAGAAATGTGTTGTATTGTTCTTCAATAATCGGGATTCGCCCGCTAGCAGAAGCATGTTCTGCGGCTCGATGCGATAACCCATCCCGAATGGAAACACTGCTGCGAGCGAGCTCGACATCTTTACGTTTTCCAGCATTTCATGCAATGGCAACACGCTCGCTTGCTAATTTTGAACGCATAATTTCATTTTCCACTAAATGGCGTGTATATTTGGGAACCGACATCTACTCTACTGACGTGATCGTGACGTTGATCGGTGAATTTTCTGGCTCGGTGACTTAGGATATCTCTTGCAACTGGTGCCATTTGAGGCCTTGTGGCCATACAAGGCCACTGCTGGGTTTGTAGCTTTGAGCTTCGCTAGGCATAAATGCAAGCATGCTAGTAGATCAACCTGAGGCCTTATACGGCTGACACCCCGCAAGGCAACCTGAAAGATGATCGGAGCCAAAACAACTGGTCGGCGACAATCGTGTTAGCATAGGCTCATTTTACGAAACCGCCTACGATTATCACTCATTTATATGATTATATTTTTATGTGTACATAACAAGCCTTCCAACGGTCGATCGGTTCGATATTTTTTTTTTGTTTTTTTTTTATTAATGACATTTTCGTATGGCAGAATATGATTGATTCCGTTGTGCCGCTTGGGTAATCATGTGCTAACATCGCTTAGACTCTGTACTAACCTTAAAATTTAGTCAGAAATTAGAAGGTCTACCTTCTTCTTTATAAATACTCTAGCAGATATGTCACAAAGGCAGCGGTTGCCCTCGGGTTAGCTCGAACAGGTGGCATCTGATCAGTGATCCCAAGAACCGCTGGTCTGAGGTTTGCATAGGTTATACGGCTTGAAAGATGCCCACTGGCTGCGAAAGCAGAAAATTCAGGACTAAAAAAATGCAGGGATTATTGATACTGATATTATTGATTATTGAGATAAAAAAAAGTAATGAACATATAATAGCTAGATAAAAAAGCTCAAAGTCATATGAGTAGAGCTCTTTGCGTTACAAAGACAGCAACTACATGGACTAAATACAGGATACATATCGTTTTAATATCCAGTGGCTACTCACAACACGATGCCCTTTTCTCTGGTCAGAATTACACTGACCGGCGCTCTTGGCCAGACGGCTGTTTTTACTTGAGGCAATTAACGCGCTCTAACAAACAAACAAACAAACAAACAACTATTATTGGTTAGTGTCGAAAGTGTCTGCTGTTACCTATCGCATAGAAGCAGTTTTTTTGCGTTATGTGTTATTATACGAAACGTAACATGTCGGGCGTCACGCTTGGCACTGTTTCCATCGAGTAACAGCAACGTGCGTTGTCTTCGTCAAAGTACGACATATCGACACTAATCATTAAGATATTACTACTGCAATGATGCTATTGTTAGGTTTGCTTTTTACGAAGCCGTCGACTTCGTTTATAATGCCTCAATGCTTCTAGCACAGTGAGGTGCCGGTGAAATTTTGGCGACTTCACGTGGCTAGCCAATCTTAGGGTAAACCGTAAGTGACACTGACTAAATGAAATTTTGACAGTTCGGTAGTCGAAGGATGGATCCGGTGGCAAAGGTCAAAGCCTGCATTTCTGAGACGGCTGCGATTGCACGGGCGATTCTTTGTTACTTTCAAGCAGTTATTTCAAGTGAAAATACGGAAATAAAGAAAAACAATATCTCGCGCGAAGAAGTCTAATTAACCAACGAAAGAACGCTATCTTCAACAGTAGATTGAACAATTTAATGGTCTATTTTTCTTTATTCTCTGATTCGGAAAAAGCTTATACTTCGTATTGTTAGGCTTCTACTTTTTATTGTCATTACGGCACCGCCATTTCCAGATGTCTTTATAGTAAAACCTTTGCTATGGCTGTATTCGCAAGCTCCAATAATAACAATTACTTGAAATTCTTTTTTTTCAGTTATAAACCTTATTCACGTGCCAAATATTAAAAAAACAATAATTTCTGTCATGAATTTTTTTTATCTCAAATAATAATAGGAATGCCCTTTAATAGTTTTCATTTCCGTAGCGACGTTTCCTGCGACTTTTGATTTGGCATGAGAAAATCTAGTTGTCCTGGACTATCATGGTAAAAATAGAAGGAAACAGTTTCGGTTGAGCTTGAAAAATGCTTTGTTCTTAGTAATACGTATCATGTGGTGTGTGTGTGTGTGTGTGTTAATGCATTGAAAATTATAGGATCTATGTGAGATGGGTTTCGGTCGGAAGGATATAGGATGCCGGCTTTTCGATAACTGATGTTTCCAAGCTTTTCTCTAAGTCTCACAGTCTGAATAAGTCATCATCCTGGCGATTGACATACTGCTTATATTTGTTCACGTATACGTACAGGGCACATACAGGTGTACAAATCTATTTATTTCTTTTGCAGACGTGCAAGTTCACGTTGCAAGTTTCTATTGACTGTTTCACTCAA